AAACTAATTATAACAATGTGTAATATCTATTGAAATAAAGATTTAACGAAAATAGAATTAGATTAAACAAAAATAAAATTATCAATTTCATGTAGTAACAAAATTTTTATTGTTTGATTCATAGATTAAACAAAAATTTCATTGTTTGATTAAAATCACAATCATTGTTTAAGCGAAATCAGATCTATTAATAAGAAAAATAGAACGTGGGAGGAAGAAATGAAAAGGATTTTTTTTTTTTTTTTACTTTTGATTAATAGTGAATTTCTATTTTTTATTAGTTGAGTAAATGGAACGTGGGACGAAGAAATGAAAAAGAATTTTATATTTTTGATTAGTTGAGTTTAATTAGAAAAGAGGATAAAAGGAGAAAATTGTGGGAAAAAATTAATATATTTTTTATATCAAATAATGAGTAAATTGGCATAGAAAAGTAAAAAAAGAGAATTTGAGACTTATAACACGTGGCAGATGGAGAATAAAAAGAGAAAATTGTGAGAAAAAAGTTAATATTTTTTTTTATATCAAATAATAAGTAAATTGGCATAGAAAAGTAAAAGAAGAAAATTTGAGACTTATAACACGTGGTAGATGGGGAAGCTGTAGTTATTTGAAAAATGATTGTTGATTTAGCAGATATAGATAATACGTGGCAGATGGAGAAAGCTGCAGTTATTTGAAAAAGGACGGTTGATTTAGTAGATAGATATTGATCGATAATTTCCCAGCCATTGTTTGGTTATCATATCAGTACGTTTTTTAGTTTTTGATAATTGGAATTCTACTAAATGCATGAGAATAAAAATGTTACAAAGCCTTTATGGCCCAATTGGCTAAATAGCCGAACACACCACAAAATGAATCATTTATTCCACAGCTGAGGCCTCATTTTAATTGGACGCCCAAAAGTACCCAACTTGATTTTCAGCAACAAGCGGAGACGGAAGAATTGAGAACATGCTGCGACGAATTTCCAAGTAAAAAGGAGAGAGATTGGTCCGAAGATACTTAACATCATCATCATGATCACTGGATAAGGATCATCAAACCTTCTAAATAAGATTAATTTCATGTGTGTGTGTGTATAATTATGTCGCCAAATGCAAAGTAAAATAGAACAGAGAACTCAATGAACGTTGACACGTTGTTAATAGAATAATAGACGACCTGAGAGGCTGAGACATGTCCTAAAGAGCCGCTCTTTCATTTGACGACTAATCTCCCAACAAGACCCGAGAGTCACCCAGGGATTGTTCATAGCTAACCTACTCATCTGTTGTGGCTTTCAATGAATTTCCAACAGTTGACATGCTTATATTATAGACTAGACTAACAACTCACATACTTGGACCTTCTCGTAGGCATTCAAGAAAGCATATCCAGAAAGCTTTTCTCCAATCTACCATCTGATAACATATCAGATAACCATCTTCATAGTGGAAGCATCAGCTGAGAACCCACCCTTCTTCATTTCTTCGATGAGTTCAGCTGAAGTGATTACGTCACTGCTTCGGAGATGTGCTCGGATTAGAGTGTTGTATGTACCATTATCTGGCACAAACCCTTCCTCTTCCATTTTTCTACGCAACATATTTGCTTCAGACAGTGAGCCTTTCCTACATAATCCTGAAATCATTATGTTGTATGCCACAACATCAAGCTTCACTCCTTTGAGAGGGAGGCTACAGAATAAATCCCAAGCATCATCCACCTTACTAGCATTGCACATCCCGTGAATAATTATACTATATATACCTATATCAAGCTCCATCTCACTCTTCTGTATTTTATCAAATATTTCCAATGCTTTCTCTAGTTCTCCATTGTCACACAACCCATCCAGCAAAATTGTGTAGGTCACAATATCCGGACAAACACCACAAGAAACCATCTCTTGGAAGAGTTCTTTGGCAACCTCAAGATTTCCCGATTGACAAAACCCTCTGACAAGAGTGTTATAAGTGACTGTATTAACAATGACTCCTCTTAAAGACATTTTGCGGACGAGTTCCAAACCATCGTCAACCCGCTTAGCCTTACAATAGCCATTTATGAGGATATTAAACGTCACGATATCAGGATGGCATCCCTTGCTAATCATCAGATCCACCATTTGGTTGGCCTCATCTAGACGGTTCTCCTTGCAAAACCCATCTATCAAAGAAGTATATGTAATAGTATCAGGAGAGATACCTCGCTGAATCATCTCAGTGTGCATTTTTTCGGCCTCTCGAAGCTTTCCCTCTTTCACAAAACAATCAATCAACGCACTGAAAGTGATGACGTCGGGGGTGATTTTCCTTGTGATCATATCCCTCAGCAACTGTGCACCATCATCCCATCTACCAGCATTACAAAATCCTCCAATGAGACAGTTGTAGGTAATAACATTTGCTTTGATCCCTTTCATTTCCATTTCATTGAAAAGGTTGAACGCATCGTCGAGGCACCCGTCTTTGCAAAGACCATCAATGATGATGCTGTATTTGGCTGCATCTAGCTTGATCTTTCTTTCTTCCATCTTTCTAAGCAAATCCAAGGCCAGGGCAGTTTTACCAGACTTGCACATTACATTTAAAACCGGTCCATAGGTAACTTCACTGGGTTGACAACCACTTTCCACCATTCGATCAATCAAAACCAATGCTTCAGAGACTTTACCTTTGAGACAAAGTCCATTAACCAGAGTGTTAATCGTAATGAGATCGGGTCTATGTCCCAACAAGGCAAGAAATAGATCGAAGAGAGAAAGATGATTATAAAGTCGCTCTGTTAAAGACATTGTAATTTCTCTCAGTAAACTCTCTGTTTTGTTGTTTGTGGTGATGTCATTGTTTCAAGAGTATTTGAGGAAAGATTTTGGGATACGTTTCCTGTTTTGGTTTAGGAATTACAAAGTTGCTGTCTTCGTGTAGAATTGGTCTATTTGAAGAACATACAGTTTCTTGTTGGAGACGGAACGTAATTAGGCTTTGGGCTGACAAATGCAAAATGTGTGTTTATTGAGAAAAAAACGTGAAATACTCACAAAGAGTGACCAGAAAAACTGCAAAAGTTGCCTGTCATGTCTTTTGTGAGTCGGTCTGAGTCTGACCTAAGTGTGTATTTTCTTCTTGGCTAGTAAATGAAACTCTCTAGAATTAACAAACAAAAGAAAGAGCTATTCTAGTTAGAGATTTCAGAATTTTGACACTGCAAATTTTGCCAAAAAAAAAGAGGTTGTACTGTTACATGTGTTAGGCCTTATAAGTAGTAATCAAAGAATTCCTATCCATTCAGGCATTCACTTGTCAATGTCTCTTAGAATCGTATCTGATGGTTCAATGGTGATCCCACTGATTCACAGTCTAAAGACTCAAGAACATATGTCAAATCTAAACATTTAGCAGATACAAGACTTTTAGCTGGAAGACTCTTAAGTAACAGCAAGATTGTAAGTTTTCATCAGTATTGCCAAACTTGTAGCACTCAGCAAACACCACATTAGTTATTGATTACACAATCTAACAAAACTTAGATATCAATACGTTGACCTTTTTTCCAAGATTCTAGCAGAAGTCAAAAGATTATACTAAACACATTGATCAAGAGTCTTTGCTTCACCCCTACATGAAGCCTAAACACAAATTTGTTGATTCTGTAACTCTTGCGTTGCTTCTCAGCTTCAAAGTGTTATAAGAGGGAGGAAGCACCCAAGTAAAACTCAGTCACACCCATTAAAACATAAAAAATTTTAAAGACAGTCTTCAATGACAGCGGAGAAACAGATTTGTTATTGGATTAACAGGCTAAACAGTCTGTCCATTTAGACTTCACTGAGCACCCCTAGGGACAAAAACAAATTTTCTGATAAAATAAACATAACTATTTATTAAACCAGATTCTTCCAACATACAACAAACGCTATTCATCATAGCTTATAGGCAAGCAAACGTCATGAAATCACAACTAAGATACAATAATTGAAATTTGGTTTCCTCTCCTCGTCACGGCATGGACTTCAACTTTGTCTCTTCTCAAATTTGGTTTTCTCGAGAACGAAATCGACTTTGTGGAGGAGATAGCGATGGTTATCAAGGTTGTGATTAGGAGAGGCATGGTTCTCGAATATGGAATTGGTGGCGGAAGATCTCTGCTTCAGGAGTTGGTGGTGGTGTCTTTGGGTGTGGCTTTCTCAGCGGATGATAGGTTGTGGCTTTGTCGGCTTTTGGCTGCCGGTGGTTGCAAGGTGACAGAGGCTTTTCGTTTCTGGTCCTTGTCGGTTTTACGCTTATATCGCTTCTCTCTTTTCGGATGTTAGTAGTTGTATGTTTGTGTTTGGCTTTTGGTAGTTGTTGTTGGTGGGTTTAGGTGGCTTTTGTCTTTGGACTAGTTGGGGTCATGGTTTTGCTCTCTGTTATCTCATGAAAGCTCCGGGGATTGGTCGTGTTTAACTAGGTTTTGGATAGCTTTCGTTTAATCCTTTCTTTCTTCGTTGAATCTTTTAAGGTTGGCTCTTTCCACCGCCTCTAGTTTAGATTAATAAGTAGGTTTTCTCTCGTGGTCTTTTCCTTGTCTGTTCTTGTAAGTCTAACCTTTTGTGGGGATGCAAAGTTCTAGATTTAGACTTGTTCGGTAGAAGACTAGGTGGTTAAGTTTAAGATTCACGATTGTGGCTTTCTTTTCTCGGGTTATTCGTTTTTAGTTGGGTTATCTCTTCGCGGTTCCTCTATCCTTGGTTCTACTCCGTTTGCGGTTGTAGGTCTTATAGTCTGCGACTATTGAGCTCTTAGTTCCGCGTCTATTGTTCTCCTCCGACTTTCCCGTTGATATCAAGAGCTTAACTTTTTGACTTTAGTCCTATCTTATGGTTCCCGTGTATCGGGCTTTAGCTTCCGGGGATATCTTTGTTTTCCGCCGGCTTTTGTATTTCAAAACCGTATTCCAAAAACGCATTCCACCCTTGTATCGGTCCTTTGTATTATATAATGAAAATCTTTCAGTGAAAAAAAAAAAAAAAAAAAAAAGAACCTGCTTTATTCATTATTAAGACACAAACCGCTAGAACTTAGTCGTCTTTATTCATTATTAAGACACAAACCCCTAGAACTTAGTCGGTAAGCACCACGAACGGAAATAGCCTTCCCGCCCCCAAAGCGAATGGGCGCTGTGCTGTGGGTCAGTTTCGGGGCGGGGGGCGCAGTGATATCCATGCGCTTCATATTCGCATGGAGTTTGCTCCCAGAAGACTCGTCATCACAAGAAAGGGTGAGTAGCCTTAGCCCAGCTTTTCTGAGGTGTTCCCAGTGCAGACGCGCGAGCGTGGCGTAGGCAGGCCAATTCCTGGCATGATGGTCTAGATTGTTGAAGTCTGGGTCTGCTTTTTTGAAGTAGTTAAAAGCACATCCTAAGCCTTTGACCTTAGCAAGGATCTCAATATAAAGTGCAAACTCGGAGGGAGTAAATTCAACCTTCTTCGCATCCATAGAGTCAAAGAGCTACAAAACGAATTAACCCATTAATCCAAAAGAAGGAAGAACAAACCTTACTTAAATGATGAAGAATAAATTACATGTAGGGCGAGTTCATGTTTGCCTTCCTTGTGAAGGCTATTCACCCTGCTCATGAGGTTGTCTTTGCTAAAAAAGACCGATGTCGTCGCCGCCGTCTCAGCAGATTCCGTTGTAGAAAGAGCCCTTGTCGTCCATCGAAGACGAGCGATGACGCCAGAATCCGAGGGTTTGGGAAACAGAGCGGGACGCGTTGCGGACTTGTGCAAGAGATGAAGAGAACCTGCTGCGATGCGGCGGAAATTCATCATCATTCTAACCCTAGCTAAATGTCGCAACACAAACCCTATTCTTATTTGATACTCGCAAGTCGCAACTCTCAATTTGGGCCCGGCCCGGCTACCCTCTTATGCACTTTGAATACTATGTCAAATTATTGGGTGCAACATTTGTTTTTGTAGTGTTTGTTTTCTAAACTTTATAGACAAGTATATATAGTACTGAGTTTGTTCAAATTCCAGCAGTGGTGGAGGTAATTTAAATTATGTTGTTTCTCTCACCATTGTTACTTTGACATAAAGTAGGGCTTGGATTTTGGCAATTCTTCATACTAAGAAGGATAGAGTTATAATAACTTTAGAGGATAAAAAAAAAACACATAAGCTTTTACCCATCTAATCTGTGGTCTCATATAGTCATATGGTTTAGATAAAGACATAAGCTTGAACAATAAGCTGCAAATAAACAGTCCAATAAAAAACTAAATCAACCAAGATTCATAAATAGACATTAAGAATCACATCTTTTTCCTTTTTTTCTTTTACCTCTTGTACTCTATGTCCAGCTCGAGCAAGCAATTTGTATTGGTTCTCAAACATTGGAGCCATGTAAACCTACAAAGAGAGAAAGAAAACAAAACCAGAGATCTCAGATTCCGATCAAAACAGTGTCAAAGTCTCAGCGGTTTGGTCTGTTAGATGTTTTCGTGTTTAATATATGCATTTAGGCGATCAAACTGTGTATACCTGAAACGTTGGAGCAAGGCCCGGGCTCAAGAAGAATCGACTTTTTGAAACTGATTGGATTCCTTCAACCATTTCCAGCTCTTTGATCAGAGATTCCACATCAGGCCACTGTAGAAGAAAGTTTTCAGAACCCCGTAACAATGGTGTGATCACAAAAGTCATAGAAGGTCTTTAATACCTCAGCGTCGAGCTCTGCTGCTTGTAACCGTCCCCCGAACTGATCATTATCACCACCAACTACAGATTCTAAGGCTTCGGTTAGTGGATCAGGCTGCATAAAGACATCAAACGGGTTTAGATGTATATCAAATGAGTTACCGATTTCTACAAGATAAACTTTTGAGAGATCTTTCTCACCGTGATTTCTTTTAGAGTAACTAGGGTGGTGTTATGGTCGCTGCTGATTCTCGGGCTAGCATGGGAGGATATATCTGTATGTCTCTTTTATCACTTACTTTTGTGTGCAGACTTTGATGATGTTTAGCTGAAGAAGTCCTCCAAAAATATGCATCCTTTCGATATAGTTGACTGTGGTAGAACCAGTAGTACGATGAAGATTAAGTTAGCTTATTTTTGGTTTAGTTTTGTGCTGGATTGTCAAACAAATTTCTAGTCTCCATTCTCTTGGCCATTGATTCTGTTGGCCATTGATTGTGCTAGGAACGTTTGTGTGATTTTTGCTGATGTTTTAATTCTGTTTTCCTCATTCAGCCTCACAATCTGTGAAGAAGATTATTGAAATCAATCCTTATATGCTCGGTACAATGGCTGGAGGAGCGGAGCTGCAGATTGCCAATTTTGGCACAGAAATCTTGGAATTAAGGTATCTTGCTCGAAATTGTTTTGGTCGTCTCTGAACTGATAACTTGGATCTTTGATTAATCTTCCTTTCTGTGGTTATCGGGAATCTTGCTGCCTTGTTCTTATAGTGATTTTTTATATTTCTAAAAGCAGCAATTCAATTTCCTTATCAAATGCTTAGAGTTTTAGTTCTCTCTATATTGAAGAATGACCAAGATTTTGCGTGTTTGATGATGACCCTAAGATCATACAAGTCTCTTTGAATGCTAAGTATTCAATTTTAGTTGAGCATGTGGTGGCTTTAGATCCCTTTTTTTTAATCGAACATTTCTGTAGCAATTAAGTTCTGCTTCTTTTTTTCGCTGTACTTAGATAGCAAATAAATAGAGAACTTAGTTTGATGAATGCAATGTGATACAGTTTCTCTTCATTTAAGTGGGTGTACTACTTAGTTCTTGTGTCTAAAATTTTGGCATGTTAATACCATTGTAGACTTCTTCAATTTAGCACCAAAATCGTGTTTATTGATTCTATTGCTGATCTCTTAATTGATTTGTCTATCCAAGTGCCGTCTACATGAGCTGGCAAACAAGAGGAGAATCTCTGTTTCCGGAGCTTCAAAACTTCTTGCGAACATGCTGTATTCATACCGAGGAATGGGACTTTCTGTTGGCACAATGATTGCTGGATGGGACGAAACTGTCAGTAAAACCAACTTCATATCTTCAACACTGTTATTTTCTTCCCACTCAGAAAGAAAATTTGAAATGCTAAATCCTTACTTCTTGTATAATAGGGTCCTGGACTATACTATGTTGACAACCAAGGAGGACGGCTCAAGGGAGACAGGTTTTCAGTCGGTTCTGGTACTTCACCATACGCTTACGGTGTACTGGACAGCGGGTAAATCATTTCCCAAACATCACCTTCATCGCTTTTTCCCTAATCTCAAAGGCTAAAAAGACCAAAATCTAATAGTTAAGCAACCGTTTCATATTAATGATTTTACTTGTATCATTAGGTACAAATACGATATGTCAGTTGAAGAAGCTTCTGAGTTAGCGAGGAGATCGATCTACCATGCGACATTCCGTGATGGAGCCAGTGGTGGAGTTGCTAGCGGTTAGTAATCCTAATGCATTTGTGGTTTAAATGTATTATTAAACTTTCAAGATTCTGATTTAGCTAATAATTTTGGTCTCTTCTCATATGATCAGTGTACCATGTTGGTCCCGAAGGATGGACGAAACTATCAGGAGATGATGTTGGGGAGCTACACTACCACTACTACCCCGTGGCACCAGCTACCGCAGAACAAGTGATGGAGGAAGCAACAGCCGAGTAAAAAACATGTTTAGTTTTCTAATCATTCACTCCCTTTCCTGTTGTTGCATTTGTGGTAGTACATACTGAGTTGTCTCTAGCTGAAGCTTTGGTATTCTATTTTACTGATCTGAAATGTTGCTCGCAACTTATTCTCTTTGAGATTCTCTTTTTTCTGCAATCACATGGTTTCAAACATCAATTTAGGGAATTGTGATAGGTTTGCACAAATTTTAGTTAAATAGTTAATTTGTTATTATAATTCTGTGTTCGAGTAAACACACACCAAAAGGTAATATAATCAAACAAGCTCAAGTACACGGAGAACACTGTCGATCGAAACTGCGATACCGGAATCCTGAGTAGGACCAGTTGGATCTCCAAAGGAAAGACAGGTCATCCCGATGACCGATCCATCTAAACTCACAATGGGACCTCCACCAGAACCCTGTGGGAGATTATAAATAGGTGATACTTAGTCAAAACCAATAACGAATAATAATACAAATCAATAAAATTATTTGAATAATAATACCCCGCAAACAGTGCAATCCATCTGAAAGAATTGTCCTTTCCTGTCACCCATATCCAACTCCTCAGCGGTGCGAATTGCACTGACAAACAATAATTCAAAATTCAGATTATTACAGAGTAAATTATTCAGTAGTTAACAAAATACTTACGAGACTACTCCAAACGTGATGGTGTTAGGGAGCTGAAGCGGTGCTCCAAAACAGCCAATCCAATCCCCTTGACGAACTCGGTTTGGAAAACCGAGTTTCACCGGGGAATAGGATCCGTCCGGCAACCCGCTAGTATCTACTCGCACCATCGCCACATCTTGTACTGAATCATACCGAACTAGTGTTCCATCTAGTTCGGTTCCATCATGCAAAACTACTTTTGGCTGTGACAAGAAAAATGGTACAATTAGCATGTATAATTACATAGTAATGTAATACAACTCAGAATTTTACCTCTTGTCTCGAATTTAAGTAAGATTCATCGGTAAGTCGTTGAGAGTTTACAACTATGTTTGAACATGTTAAAATAGTTGTATTGTCGATGAAAAATCCCGATCCGAACATGTTTCGAGCTCCTTTTTCTTCAGAGTAATTTCTCGCTAATATCGACACCACTGAAGGTGAAACCAATTCAGCCATTCTTGAATAGGAATTTCTAAGTGGATGGAGATGGTTCGCCTAAAAAAGAGATTGAAATAGACAAATTTAAAAACTACAAAACTTAGACAGAACATTCAATAAACTAGAACACTAACCAGTTCATCCAATTCTTCAGAGGTCAGGCGCGCGAGCGTGGCGTAGGCAGGCCAATTCTTGGCATGATGGTCTCGATTGTTGAAGTCTGGGTCTGCTTTTTTGAAGTAGGCTTTAGCAGCTGCTAAGCCTTTGACCTTAGCAAGGATCTCAATATGAAATGCAAACTCGGAGGGAGTAAATTCAACCTTCTGCGCATCCATAGAGTCAAAGAGCTACAAAACGAATTAACCCATTAATCCAAAAGAAGGAAGAACAAACCTTACTTAAATGATGAAGAATAAATTACATGTAGGGCGAGTTCATGTTTGCCTTCCTTGTGAAGGCTATTCACCCTGCTCATGAGGTTGTCTTTGCTAAAAAAGACAACGCCTTCGTTTGGATCTGATGGCGATGTCGTCGCCGCCGTCTCAGCAGATTCCGTTGTAGAAAGAGCCCTTGTCGTCCATCGAAGACGAGCGATGACGCCAGAATCCGAGGGTTTGGAACGCGTTGCGGACTTGTGCAAGAGATGAAGAGAACCTGCTGCGATGCGGCGGAAATTCATCATCATTCTAACCCTAGCTAAATGTCGCAACACAAACCCTATTCTTATTTGATACTCGCAACTCTCAATTTGGGCCCGGCCCGGCTACCCTCTTATGCACTTTGAATACTAAGCCGACTCGGGACAGCGGAAACCGTAATGGGAACACACAGTTTCTTTTTTTAGAGTAACTAGGGTGTGTCAAAGGTATTTTTTTCCTGTTGATTTTGTATATGTGTCAAATTATTGGGTGCAACATTTGTTTTTCTAGTGTTTGTTTTCTAAACTTTATAGACAAGTATATATATATAGTACTGAGTTTGTTCAAATTCCAGCAGTGGTGGAGGTAATTTAAATTGTGTGCTTTGACATAAAGTAGGGCTTGGATTTTGGCAATTCTTCATAAGAAGGGTATATAGAGTTATAACTTTAGAGAATTAAAAAAAAAAACAAAACGGTTTTGATTATCAGCACTATATATATTACGGACCACGGTCTTAAATGTGTTAAATTCACGACGCATGCATCAAACCAACTCGTGGACATCATAACGAACACTGGTCATCTACTAATTGTCACCATTCGATCAACTAAATCCACAGCTTCAGGAACTCGACCCTCGAGACAGAAACCGTTGATCAAAGTTGAAAATGTAATTGTGTTGGGCCGCTCATACCCAAGTTTCAAGATCTTTCCCATAACGGAAAAAGCGAACTGAAGTTTACGACAGCGACAGAAACAATTGATCATAATACTCAGAGTGTAGATGTTATGAGGAATCCCATTCAATTCCATTTGCTTGCAGAAATCTAAAACGAGATCATATTGCTTTGTTCTGGCAACGGCACTAAACAATCTACTGAAATCAACAAGACTAGGACGAGGACGAGACCTAATCATGTCTTGAAACAGATCAATAGCATCATCTTTCTTAATATCAACAATCCCACTTCTCAATCTCTCTCTATAAGAGACTTTCCCTTTCCCATCGCTGACACTAGAAAAGACTCTTCCAGAGCAAGACAAGATTAAAGCAGTTCTTGGAGTACCTGTCTCGAGAAGACGTGTCTGAACCAATCTCCGCATGACCCAAATTAAGAATTTGTAAGCTCTGAATAGAAAACTGAAGTGGCGTCTCTGATTAAAGATCACACTGTCTGCACATTTACACCAATTTCACACACAACAGCAAAAAGGTTTAAGCTTTAGTGACTTTTGACTCGAAAATTTCAACAACTTTAAAACTCTTAAAAGAAGGCTCGTCTTCTTCGTCTTTGCAATGAAAGTGAAAACTAGAAAAGCTTCCAAATCAAACGAGTGTGTGTTAGCTTCTATTCCATGGAGAATCGAAATTGTCTGCCAGATTCGCCAGCCAAATTATAGAAAATCAAACACATAAAAGAATAACTAAGCAAATGGAAACCTAAAATCGTCAGATGATGATGACAGTACGACTATGTTTGATATGCTTCTAGAACCGGTTTAATGCGCTGGTTTAGATAAAACCGGTTGTCTTTTATCCTTTTGTTTCGCTAGTTGTCGATAAATAAAAACTTTATCCAACTTGATTCCAGCAACATGCTGCGACGAGTTTCCAAGTAAAAAGAGAGAGATTGTTGTCTTATTTAGAAGGTTTTATGATCCTTATCCAGAGATCGTGACGATGATGTTATTTATTATGGTCTTTTTTGGTTTATTAACATAAGATTATTGTATTTATGGTTTATTTTGTTGTTGTTGTTGTTGTTGTTGTTTGTGGCCTAAAGATGGAGTAGATGGACAAAGTTGCAGACTGTGTGGATTCATGCTCGGACAAGTGTTTCACCAAAGACTAAAAGTGATATTAATTACTTTTTTTCTTATTGTAATTAAGTACCGATCTAAATGTTATGAAGTATTTAGTTTGTATCAGCACGATGAATATTCATGTCACAAGCAAATCGGTTGATAAAACTCTTTCTCCATCTCTACATACGAGTATGTTTCTTTGATGGGCCGGACCTAAGTTCTAATTAAAATATCTAATTTATTTTCTCCTTAGTGAGAAAACAAAACGTCATGTACAATAGTTATGTTTAGTTGGGCTTCTTGGGCTTTTCGGACCTTTTTTGTTATGTTTTTTCTTATGTTTTTTTTAATAAATTGAGATGAGAACAAAAAAGAAAAAAAGAAATCAGACCAAAAAAAATCCCCAACTCAAAAGTCTTCGGGTTGGCTGATTTTATAGCCCTAAACTAGTTGCATTCTCAGCTTTCCCCCCCAACCTTTTGGCTCCTGACAATTCCACCATGAACTTAGATAATTCTCCCAATTTCAACATGTACTTTCGGATTCATCCTTAAAAATACGCCTCCAATTGAACCGGTCATTAAACCGGGTTTAACCACAAATCCGCGTTTACTGTACCGCGATTGCGATTTACCCGACTAAATACCCATTACCCGTTAAGAAAACGACGTCGTTTTCATTTTGATAAATCTCATCAAAACCCAAGCAAAAAACGACGTCGTTTTCATTCTTCTTCTTCTACAAAATCGATTTGGGCGTTTAGGGTTCTACATTCCACTTCAGAGCTTCTGAAATTTTAAGAAAATGAGCACCATGAGCTACTACTCATCTGCTTCCAGTTCAGGTTTCCGTGCCTCTCCTCTTGGTGTCCCCTCCAAATGCTGGTGTGGAGAAGAGATCACGACTTTCACATCGAAAACAAAGGAAAATCCATACCGGAGATTCTACCGGTGCGCGATAGCAATGAAGGTACACATTTCGATTTTTTGAAATTGTTAATTGATCGAAAAGAGTAAATGGGTTAGAAATTCTGTTTTGTAGAGAGAAAATGAAGAGCACTTGTTCAAGTGGGTTGATGAAGCTCTCTTGGACGAAATTAACATGGTAAATGAGAAGTGTAAGAGAGTTGCAGAGAATCTTAGTGCTCTGAGAGTGAACGTGATGGCCAATATGGAGGTCCAGAACAAAAACATTAAGCAAATTGAGGAAGAGCTGATTAAGAAGATGGAGGGTGAACTCTTGACCATGAAGGAGAATGTGGAGGAGCTAGGACATGTTATGGCTAAGTCAGCTTTGAAGACTGTAGGGATTGCTGCTGTAATTGTTACCTCAATTGTATGGCTTTGGGGAAGAGTGTAGGTGTTGAGGTTTTAGAGTGAATCTATGTCAGTTTGTAGTGAATCTGTTTGGTCTCTGTTTGTCTTTGTTTTGTAATGTGAACCTATGTTTGTCTTTTGTTTTGTAATTGTTTTTGTTTTGTAACGTGAATCTGTTTTGTCTTTGTTTGTAGTGAATCTGTTTTGTCTTTGTTTTGTAATGTGAAAGAGGCAACATCCAAAAATAGACAAAAGAGGATGAAGATTGTTCCAAAGACAACATCCAGACAATCTAAACCAATCAACAACTAGAACTACTCCCACGGCTCCCATTGACTGCTTCTCTGTGTTAGTGTGATTGTATCTGGTCCCTGAGTTGTTTCTTGATGCTCTATTGTAGGCTGAGAGGTAGATGTCCCTTGACTCTTCTTGGTCTTCTTAGTATTCTTCTTCTCTTTTGGTGGTTGAGACGATCCAGCAGCCTAAAACAACCCACAAAATGCAACTTGAGCAACAAAATGTCTGACCACACAGAAAACAGAAGCCTAAAAAAGATACAAACCTCATCATCTTGATTCTTCTTCTTCCTACTCTTCTTCTCCTTAGGGAACTTCTTACATCCAGCTGCATTGTGACCTGCTTCACCACAAGATCTGCAATGCATTGTTGTTCCTTTCCTTCCTAGTTTTAGTTTCTCTGGTTCACCCTTCTTTTTCTTCTTTGGTGACTCATTTGGACCCTTGATCCGATTGTAATTCTTTTTCTCACCTTTCTTTCTCCCAGGTGGAACAGGATCTTCGAGAGGTGCAGTTATTAACCTTAAACCTGTAGGCCAATACATTTGCCCTCTAACTGGCTCAGGCCCGGTCTCATATTGTTCTTGCCAAGTGTGAGTGTTAAACATTGGAACCACAAAGTCTTCAACATCCTTACCCACATCATTGATTGCTGCATAGGCGTGTTCACATGGAATCCCTGTGACTTGCCATTTACAGCATGAGCAGTCCCACTGATCAGTGGTCAAGTTCACAGCATTAGAGCTCCCATCTTTCCAAACCTCATATTTTCCATGTGTTCCTTTCGTCACTTCACATTGCACAGCAATTTCCCACTCTTCTTCCAGAATGTCTGAGACATACTCAGATGTCTTCTTCTTCCATCTGCTAATCTTCTCTTTTCTCTTACTTATACGTGCCATTGCTTGTCTCCTAATTGTTTCCATCATAGGAACCAATGCTTTGGCCCTAGCTTTGACAACTGTGGCATTGAAAGACTCTGTTGCATTGTTGTCCACATCCTCACAAAAGCTGCCTAGTCTAAACCAAGCTCTACACCAATTCTTTGGTTCTTCCTTTATGACATCCTCATACAAGGACATGCTGTAAGCTCTCATCTCATTGAGATTAGCTTTGTATTGTGAGTCACTGTAACTCCATGCTAAATTCCAGACAAGCTTCTTCAGCAAATCCAATGATCCATGTCTCTTCTTCAGGTTCTCCACTATATGCTTCACACAAGGTCTGTGTTCAGCATTTGGCAATGCACTCTTGACAGCACTAATAATTCCCTGCCAAAAACACACACATTAGCACCTATAAAGCACTATCATCTACACATAATAAAACAATGACACATAAGAGAATACATACCTTGCAACGATCTGATATGACCACATAGCCACTGCCATCCTTTAGGTTCAAGTCATGCTTGAGCTGATTCAAAAACCAGAGCCAATTGTCTGCATTCTCAGACTGAACAGTTGCCCAAGCCACTGGATAAATTTGGTTGTTAGCATCATGAGCAATAGCAGTGAATAGACATCCTTTAACCGCATGCTTCAAAAATGTTCCATCTATCCCAATGAGTGGCCTACAGTAGTAGAATGCATTCTTCATTGCTCCAAGACATACATATATCCGGTTAAAGACATCATTTCCTTTGGCATCAGGAATGGTATCAACAATTGCAGTTGATCCTGGGTTTGTAGTCATGATTTCTGCCACATATCCTCGGAGGTGAGCAAACTGTTGAGCATATTCTTCTTTCAGCCACTTCAGAGCTAGTAGTCTTCCATCTTGCACTTGTCCTATAGTACTAACCAGCTTCCATTGCTCCTTGATATGCCTCTGAATGTCAAGAGGCATGAAATTAGGCTGCAACCTTAGTTTATCCATAAACAATCTCCCAATCACTCTCCTCTTCAGCAGCTTGCATTTTCCATTAGAAGTACACTTATGATCCAAGCATTTGGTCTTTACAACCCACAACTGCCTATCATTATCATATGAGGCATAGACATACCATTCACACTCCTTTCTTTGTGCACACCTAAAGCTAATTTTATCCTTCTCCCACCTACTTTGTTTAGCATTTATCCTATGCTTCATTGCATAATGCAACACCGTCTCTTTAAACTCAAAACCAGTGAAGAATGTTCTGCCTATAGCTAACTTATCATCCGAAGCTAACCTAATTTTCCTATCTCTAGTGATCACAGGATCTTCATCTTCATTTTCATCTTCTGGAATTTGATTCCTTCGAATCTGAAACTCATCAAACCAATTAGCTACTGCTTCCTCTATCTCGAACTCAAACCTCTCGGCCAAATCTTCTTCAGGCACATCCTTCTTCTCTTTTCCCCTCTTCCTCTTCTTACTGCTTTCAGCTCCGTCATCAGCTCTGTCATCTTCTCCATCACCTCCGTCGTCTTCGCCAGCGGCTTCGTCAGCGGCTCTGTCATCGGCTCTGTCGTCGTCTCCGTCATCGGCTCTGTCATCGGCTCTGTCGTCGTCTCCGTCATCGGCTCTGTCTTCGTCTCCATCATTCTCTCTGTCATCATTCTCTCTGTCACTCTCACAATCGCCCTCAACTCCGCTTTCACTGCTATCGCTTCCACCGTCGGCATCGAGAGAACTGTCTGGAGGATCGAAATCGGGGTCATCTGGATCGCTTTGATAAACCAACCCTTCATCCCACCAATTCTTCATTGAATCGAAAACCTATTCGAAACCCTAATTCCCACCCAGATTTAAGATTCCAGAACCCAGAAATCCGAAAATCCCCAAATCCCCTTTTCTCTTTTTCTCTCAAGAACCCTAATTTCAGATTGAACAATGACGATTCGTAAACCCGATCTTAGATTTATCAAAATGAAAACGACGTCGTTTTCTTAACGGGTAATGGGTATTTAGTCGGGTAAATCGCAATCGCGGTACAGTAAACGCGGATTTGTGGTTAAACCCGGTTTAATGACCGGTTCAATTGGAGGCGTATTTTTAAAGATGAATCCGAAAGTACATGTTGAAATTGGGAGAATTATCTAAGTTCATGGTGGAATTGTCAGGAGCCAAAAGGTTGGGGGGAAATCTGAGAATGCAACTAGTTTAGGGCTATAAAATCAGCCAACCCAAAGTCTTCTGATAAAAAAAAACACTGATCGGAGTTTGGAGATATCGCCGTGGACATGGCGGTGCGTAAGAGGCTGTTATCGTGCGCATCTCCGCTAACACAAGAGAACCAGTCCGCTCTCGCATCCGTACTCTGCTCTGCCTTTGGACCACCTACATCGCAGAAGAATCCCTCGAATCTATCTAAATACCCTTTCCTTAAGCTAGCCACGGAACTTCTTCAGAAACCTGAATCCCCCAAACAACCTCAAGGGCACAACAACGACAACAACTTTTCTTTCCTCAAAACATTCACTTTCTCCGACGTCTCCTCTCTTCATCATCTTGATCATCTCGATCCCAATTTCCACAAGAGTGTGTATGGCTGTGCATCACTCCTCGACGTTTTAACTAAGCATGGAATCGCTTGCCATGTGCCTAAGCTCATCTGCTTCATGATACTTAAATGCGTTAAAGATTCAGACTTTTTGTTTGTTATTGACTTTTTTTTTTTTTTTTTTTTTTTTTTTTTTAAAAAAAATAAAATTTGTTATTGACTTGTCTATCAAATTCAAATCATTGCTTACTCCAAATTGCTACAAGGCTTTGTTAGACTCATTGGCTACTACTAGTTTGCTATATGGAATGAAACGAGTCTACACGGAGATGCTGGATGTGGTTTCACCAGGTGTTCACACTTATAACACAATGGTTAATGTGTATTGTAGGCATGGGTATATGGTGGAGTCGAACCAGTTTGTGTGTAAGATGATTCAGTCTGGTTTGGCTCCTAATCTTTCCACATTTACATCTTTGATTATGGGTTACTCTACAACCAAAGACGTGGATGCTGCTATTAGGGTTTTTCATAAGAATATGGTGGAGTATGGGTGTGTTCCTGATTTGAAATGCTATGAACACCTCATGTTGGGGATTTGTTGCGCTAAGAAACTAGGATTAGCACAAAGCTTGTTGGATCAGATGCAAAGACAAGGGATAGCTCCGAGTTGGATTGTTTTTGATGAGATTGTTAAATGTTGCTGCAAGATGAACAAGTATGAGGAAGCTGCACATGTTGTGGATCATATGATTAGCAGTGGCGGTTACACACCGGAATTGATGGATTGCAGGGCATTGATTTGCGGGCTCTATGAACAAGGAGACAAAGAGAGAGCAAATGCAGTTTTCCATAAGCTGCTTCAGTGTGGCGAGTACTACGATGATGAAATAGCTTGGACAATCCTCATTGGTGGTTTGCGTAAGAAGAAGAGCCTTTCAGAGGAATTTTCTCAACTGTTCCAAGCAATGCTAATAAGTGGCTGTCACTTGAGCCCTCAGACACATTTTATGCTTAATCAGGGGCTTCACAGGAAGACTCAATGCGCCTGAGTTCTTACATCTGCTCTCTGCTTTGGTTTTCTGTAACTTCAGCCGACAAAAGGGCACTCGTGTGCAATAAACTTCATAGTGGCTAATAATGGTGTTGTTGCAACTTTTGTTTTCAGAAATTTAAGAGTTATGATCGCTATTCCAACCTTGTTGACCGAAAGAGGTAAAAAGTGATCAAAGAGGTATAGGTAAAAACATCTGGAGCTATACCTCTTTCGGTCATATCTTTGAAGAGAGCATCAGCTGTCAGAAATAGGCCATTCCGTCTCAGGTTATCCATCAAAATATTATAAGTAGCCACTGTTAGTGTCACTTTCTTATTAATATATCTTTCTGCAATTCTGACAAAGGCTGGCTATTACAGAGTTGTAAACAGCGTTTGCTATTATCCCCTTTCCTTCCATTTCAGGGAAAAGCTCCAATGCTTCATCCTAATAGGTTAGATGAAGCTCTGGCTTTGTTCGATCACATGATCTCTCTCTGCCAAAAAAAAACAACTGGATGAAGCATTGGAGGTTGAGGACGGCGTCGAAATTGCTTCATCAGCCGTGTTCCACGGTGCAGAGAGGTTCTCCTTGGTCATGTAGCATTTTGAGGTTTACATGATATCATTATCTATACATATTTGTACAGAATTTAGCAAGTACAATCTGAAAAGCAATGTAGACAGGTGAACAGAGTGATAAGGAAATGATGAGCTTGCTTTCATGCCCGGAGAATGGTTCTAAATCTTAGTGGTCGATCTGCTTAAAAGTTAAAACACATGTTGTGTAGATCAAATGTTGTCATATGTAACTCCAACTTAGTCTTTCATTGCTCTGAGACGGTTATATGATGTAAACACCAAAATTCTAAGAAAGCATATCCAAAAAGCTTTTCTTCAATCTACCATCCGATAGCATCTTGATAACCATCTTTATAGTGGAAGCATCAACTGAGAACCCCAACCTCTTCATTTCTTCAATAAGCTTAGCTGATTTAGTTTCATCACCATCTCCAAGATGTGCCTTGATGAGTATGTTGTATGTACAACCATCTGGCGAATGCCCGTCCTCTTCCATTTTTCTAAACAACAGTTCCGCTTCAGACAGTGAGCCTTTCTTACACAGTCCCCCAATCATTATAGTGTATGTTTTGACATCAAGCTTCACTCCTTTGAAAGGGATGCTACAGAATAATTCCCAAGCATCATCCACCTTACTAGCATTGCACATCCCATGAATGATGATGTTATATATACCAATATCAAGCTCCATCTTACTCTTCTGTATTTTTTCAAATATTTCCAATGCTTTTTCTGGTTCCCCATTGTCACACAACCCATCCAGCAAAATTTTGTAAGTGACAATATTAGGAGGAACACCACGAGAAACCATCTCTTGGAAGAGTTCTTTGGCAACATTAAGTTTTCCCGACTGACAAAACCCTTGGACAAGTGTGCTATAAGTAACTGTATTAGCAACCACTCCTCTTAGAGACATTTTGCGGAAGAGTTCCAAACCATCGCCAACCCGCTTAGCCTTGCAATATCCATTTATGAGAATACTGTAAGTCACGATATTAGGATCACACCCTTTGCTAACCATCAGATCCAACATCTGATTTGCCTCATTTAGGCGATTCTCCTTGCAAAACCCATCTATTAAAGAACTATATGTAATCGTGTCAGGAGCTATACCTCTTGTGATCATCTCCTTGTGCAGTTCTTCGGCCTCTCGAAGCTTTCCCTCTTTCACAAAACTATCAATTAAAGCATTAAAAGTGACAATGTTGGGGTTGATTTTCCTTGTGATCATATCCTTGAGCAACTGCGCACCATCATTCCATCTACCAGCATTACAAAATCCTCCTATGAGAGAGTTGTAGGGAAAAACATTTGCTTTGATCCCTTTCATTTCCATTTTATTGAAAAGGTTGAGTGCTTCGTCGAGGTTTCCATCTTTGCAAAGACTATCAATGATGACACTGTACTGCACTACATCGAGCTTGGTATTTCTTTCTTCCATCTTTCTGAGCAACTCCATGGCCAGGGCTGTTTTACCGGACTTGCACATTATATTAAAAACGGGTCCATAAGTAACTTCATCGGGTTGAAAGCCATTTTCCACCATTCGATCAATCAAAACCAATGCTTCAGAGACTTTACCTTTGAGACAAAGTCCATTAACCAGAGTGTTAATCGTAATGAGATCGGGTCTATGTCCCATAACGACCATTCGATCAACCAATTCAACACCTTCAGAGACTCTACCTTCAAGACATAGTCCATTGAGTAAGGTGTTAAATGTGACGGTGTCAGGCTCATACCCAAGCTTCACAGTTTTTCCAAGAACAGAAAAGGCAAAACCAAGTCTTCTGCACCGAAAAAAACAATTGATTGCAATATTCAAAGTGTACAAGTCATACGCGATCCCATTCAACTCCATTTGCTTGCAGAGAGCTAACACTAAACCATACTGTTTCGTTTTGGCAATGGCACTAAACAATCTATTGAAATCTATGACAGTGGGAAGAGGACGAGACTGAATCATGTCTCGGAACAGATCAACAGCAAAATATGCCTTAATATCGACAAGCCCACTTCTCAATCTCGCTTCATAAGACATTTTGCCATCACTAAGAACAGAGAAGGCGCAAGAGAAGAACACGTTTGGGCTACGAGATAAACAAGTTCTGGAAGTACCTGTCTCAGGAAAACGAGGCTGAACCAATTTGAAAGTGAAAGCCTTCCGATTAAGAGGAATCACTCTTCGTATCATCATCAATGCCATTTCTTCTTCAGATGAAACCAGATTCTAGATAGACATAAACCATGTGTGTTTTGAGGGAGACGAAAGAAATTTCGGTTCGATTATCATATTTCTAAACCGGGGTTCATTTACATGCGGTACAATCCGGTTTTTAAAGAATGATGTCGGTCATGTGATTTATTTACTTATTTGTTTGTTCTAAACTAAAACGGTGCCGTTTGAGCCAACTTCGAAGTCTTCAACATTCGACGATGGTTCAACCATAATCTTGATAGTACTTCAGTCATGTGGGAGCAGATCCAAAACCCTAAAGTTTAAATTCCACATTAAGTTGTCATCATTGGATGATGATCATGAAACCTTCTAAATAAGGTGGAGTTTTTGACAAGATGGATTTCACACGTGTGTCAGTGTGTGTATAATTATGTCTCCAAATGCAAAGTAAACTACAACAGAGAACCCAATGGACGTTTTTAATAGACAACCTGAGACAAGTCCTAAAGTTAAATACGACATGTTCAACTACATCACAAGAAAAACTTATAGCTTTAGAGCAGCTCTTTCATTTGACGACTACTCTCCCAATATGCTCAAGAACCGATAGCCACCCAGGGATTGTTCATAGCTAAACTACTCTTCTGTTGTGGCTTTCACTGATAGAGAGACTTCTGTGGTGAGCTTGCTTTTATGGCCCCAAAATTTCCAACAATTGACATGCTTATATTATAGACTAGACTAACAACTCACATACTTGGACCTTCTCGTAGGCATTCAAGAAAGCATATCCAGAAAGCTTTTCTTCAATCTACCATCCGATAACAAATCTACAACCATCTTTATAGTGGAAGCATCAGCAGAGAACCCACCCTTCTTCATTTCTTCGATGAGTTCAGCTGAAGTGATTACGTCACTGCTTCGGAGATGTGCTCGGATTAGAGTGTTGTATGTACCATTATCTGGCACAAACCCTTCCTCTTCCATTTTTCTACGCAACATATTTGCTTCAGACAGTGAGCCTTTCCTACATAATCCTGAAATCATTATGTTGTATGCCACAACATCAAGCTTCACTCCTTTGAGAGGGATGCTACAGAATAAATCCCAAGCATCATCCACCTTACCAGCATTGCACATCCTGTGAATCATGATGTTATATATACCAATATCAAGCTCCATCTTACTCTTTTGTATTTTTTCAAATATTTCCAATGCTTGTTTTAGTTCTCCATTCTCACACAAACCATCCAGCAAAATACTATAAGTTACAACACTGCATGGCACACCACGAGAAACCATCTCTTGGAAGAGTTCCTTGGCAATATTAAGTTTTCCCGACTGACAAAACCCTCGTACAAGGGTGTTGTAAGCAATTGTATTGGCAACCACTCCTCTCAAAGACATTTTGCGGAAGAGTTCCAAACCATCGTCAACCCGCTTAGCCTTGCAATATCCATTTATGAGAATACTGTAAGTCACGATATTAGGATCACACCCTTTGCTAACCATCAGATCCATCATCTGGTTTGCCTCATCGAGGCGATTCTCCTTGCAAAACCCATCTATCAAAGAACTATATGTAATCGTATCAGGAGATATACCTCGTTGAATCATCTCCTTGTGCAGTTCTTCGGCCTCTCGAAGCTTTCCCTCTTTCACAAAACTATCAATCAAAACATTGAATGTGACAACGTTGGGGGTCATTTTCCTTGTGATCATATCCCTCAGCAACTTCGCACCATCATCCCATCTACCAGCATTACAAAAGCCTCCTATGAGAGAGTTGTAGGTAATAACATCTGCTTTGATCCCTTTCATTTCCATTTCATTGAAAAATATGAGTGCATTGTCGAGGCTCCCGTCTTTGCAAAGACCATCAATGATGATGTTATATTTGACTGCATCGAGCTTGATATTTCTTTCTTCCATCTTTCTGAGCAACTCCATGGCCAAGGCAGTTTTCCCGGATTTGCACATCACATTTAAAACCGGTCCATAGGTAACTTCACTGGGTTGACAGCCATTTTCCACCATTCGATCAATCAAAACCAATGCTTCAGACACTTTACCTTTGAGACAAAGTCCATTGATCAGAGTGTTAAGCGTTATAAGGCTGGGTCTATGTTTCATTTCCACCATTCGATCAACTAAATCCACAGCTTCAGGAACTCGACCCTCGAGACAGAAACCGTTGATCAAAGTTGAAAATGTAATTGTGTTAGGCTCATACCCAAGTTTCAAGATCTTTCCCATAACGGAACAAGCGAACTGAAGTTTACGACAGCGACATAAACAATTGATCATAATACTCAGAGTGTAGATGTTATGAGCAATCCCATTTAATTCCATTTGCTTGCAGAAATCTAAAACGAGACCATATTGCTTTGTTCTGGCAACGGCACTAAACAATCTACTGAAATCAACAAGACTAGGACGAGGACGAGACCCAATCATTTCTTGAAACAGATCAATAGCATCATCTTTCTTAATATCAACAATCCCACTTCTCAATCTCTCTCTATAAGAGACTTTCCCTTTACCATCACTGACACTAGAAAAGACTCGTCCATAGCAAGACAAGATTAAAGCAGTTTTCGGAGTACCTGTCTCGAGAAGACGTGTCTGAACCAATCTCCGCATGACCCAAGTTAAGAATTTGAAAGCTCTGAATAAAAACTGAATTTGATTTTGTGCTGATTCGCTTGTTCGTCTTTCAAAGGCACCAAACTTTCACACATAGCAAAAAAGGTTGAAGCTTTAATGACTTGTGATTCGGAAATTTCAACAACCTCAAAACTCTTAAGAGAAGAGAAGGCTCGTCTTCAATCTCTGCAACGAAAGTGAAAAATGGAAAACCTTCCAAATTCCAATGAGTGTGTTTCAGCTTCTATTCCATGGATAATCGAACAAATTATAGAAAGAATATATACAAATGGCTACAAAAAAACATACACATAAGAAGAACTATAAGTAAATGGCGGAACCTAAAAAAATGAAATGGTGAAATGATGATGATGGCTCACTGATCCTCTGTTTTTCATTACAGGCATGTGCAGGTGGATTGATGCAGTTGGGCCTAATTCCACATGGGCCTGTGTTGTGAATCTCGAGAGATTCTGTTTGCTTCATTGTTTGTCCGGTGGTTTAATAAGTACGACTATATGTTTGATATGCTTCTAGAACCGGTTTAATGCGCCGGTTAGATTAAACCGATTTTCTTTTATCCTTTTGTTTCACTAAGTTTGTTGACAAAATGTTTTTTTTTTCTTCTTGTCCTCCTTTTTCGGTATCAAATATCCTTGTTTATTAAATTATTGATAATTAATCCTTGGTTATATATGTGTTATACAATGAAACTAGAAAAAATGGGAAAAATCCAATTTTTTAAAAAAATAAGTTTAATCTATTAAAACTAAAATACCATTTTATTTAGAGTTTAGAGTTAAGGATTTTTATGTAGAAGTTAGAGTTTATGATTTTAGTTTAAAAGTTATAGGTTTTAAGATCACATTGATCAAGGGATTGCACCAACTTTACTAATTATACACAGTTCGTCTAAAATTTTGACAAGAAGTTTTGCTTTAAAAAGCATTATACTATCGTCCACATGCAAGCAAGGTCACGTCAATTTCTAATTAAGCCTCATAGCCTGGATTTGAATTCTTCCAAAATCCATCTATTTGATCATTTAGGTTTCTCACGAAAGTGCCAGGTTAATTGTTACTATGGATTTTGTGAGAAATGTCTTAACTTCTAATTTGTTTAAGGCGTGATTGATCATACGTGTCTTCAGTTCGATACCCCTAAATTTTAGGAAAAAATTCAAATGATAATCAACATCTGAACAAAGTGAACCTTCAATGTACATATTCAAGTAATTCAACAACATTTAATTTCTATACAACTACAACGCCTGTCTTGAATATTTTAATTTATAATATGCTTAAGCTTCATATTGATTATATACATAGCTTAAATATCAACTAGTAGCTAAACACGATATATGCTACAGTATCATATTGTCAGTATATGAACTATAGTTTTTTTTTCTCAATTATTATTACAAGAAAAACCCCAACAAGGGCCAACACACTTTCGACAACCCCAAGTGAGAAAGTGAAAGAGAATAACAACTGTGTGTTAAGAAAATATTAGTGAAATAACCCTTTCATGATGATTCATTTCATATTTGAATATTAATCTCTCACTAAACCCTAACTAATTCAATTTATATTCCGTCTTTATAGATATACAGAACACACACACATACATATAAGTATACTGTTTACTTTTCAATCCTATATATATGTGGCTGATGGTCACCATACAAATCCTACCAAATGGCTCTGATCATAACCCAAAACTTCTTCATCTTCTTTAATTAATTAGCCACCTCACACGTGTGACAACTCCTTCTTCGCCACGTGTGAAAAACCCTTCTCCCGCTTGCTACTTACTATATACTACTAATAGTATGAATAATACAATGGCTTCTTCCGGCTTAGGTAGCCGGAGAAAGGATCCGGCGTACAGAGGAATCCGGTGCCGAAGTGGGAAATGGGTCTCCGAGATTCGTGAGCCTAAGAAAACCACGAGAATCTGGCTTGGAACTTACCCCACGGCAGAGATGGCAGCCGCCGCCTACGATGTGGCTGCTCTGGCTCTTAAAGGAAGAGAAGCCGTCTTGAACTTCCCTGGATCCGCCCAGTCATACCCGGTTCCTGAATCTAAATCGGCAGCGGATATACGAACCGCTGCGGCCGCTGCAGCAGCAATGAAGGGATGCGAGGAAGGGGAGGAGGAGAAAGAGGCAACGGAGAAGAATAGTAGTAGTTCGCAGTTCAGAGCGCGTGAGAGCCACGTAAATAATGATGTGGCGGCGTCTTCGTCATGGTGTGGGACAGAGTTTATGGACGAAGAAGAAGTCTTGAATATGCCTAATCTGCTGGCTAATATGGCAGAAGGGATGATGGTTGCGCCACCGTCGTGGATGGGTTCTCGGCCGTCGGATGACTCTCCGGAGAACTCAAATGATGAGGACTTGTGGGGCTACTGATCGGTTTGTGTTGTCCACTATACGTATATGTAATCATCTTCTTGTTCTTGCTGCTTTTTTTGTTCATTAATTATATATGTCACATGTATGATATATCAAATCATATGTTTTAATTAAGATTGTTTCTTGTACTTTGAATTAGGGTTTGGGTTTTCTTGGAGTTTTTAGGGTTATCAATTAGGGCTTAATATATTAGCCTTAGTTATAGTGATTCCCTACACTTTCGCGACTTCATGTGTTGATTTATATTATTACTCTTGGATTATTCATATTTTGCACCTTCTTAGTTGAGAATATAGTCCATGCAGTTCCTAAGTTTGTTTTTGTTCAATATTAAGATCGAGATTATGAATTATAGTTACTCGTTTGTCCATGAACTAAAAAAAAGTCTTTGACACATATATCTTCAGGTGGAACACAGAAACGGGGTTTTTTCTAAATAACGCCGCATTTTAATTTGGCAAAGTTTCATGTTTGTCAATTAAAGATCCAATAAATATGATAAGTAATATATATGATTTTTGTGGAATTTCTCTTCTTTGATGAGATTAATCTTTTTCTTATATTATAACCCATGAACAATTGTTTAGAGTCTTTTTGACTTTCTATAGTATATATATTATTCTTTATTATAAAGCGTTGTTTTCTACCTACACAACATATCTATCTATATTTCGTCACACGTTCGTTGCTAAGATAAATATTTGGAAATCCATCCAGCGGTCTATAATATTCCACTTAATTCGCCTGTAGTGATATATGTTTTCATATGAATCAATCGATTGATTGATGCTTATTTACACAACGATGTATATATATATTCATCTAGTGTTCCTTTTAAAAAGTTTTGATGTCCTGAGTTTCCTTTTCTGGATATGTTTTTTGTTGTAAAGGTTGTGCCATATATGTATATATGGACATGAGTGGTGTTTTCTTACTTGGTCATTTTTTGTCGTTTTCTTTAGTAAAAAAAATGGTCATTTTTTTGTCGTTTTCTTTAGTAAAAAAAAGATACGTATGTCTCATCTCTTCATTTTTTTGACACTATCTTGCTAATAAGTGATAGTATATTTTGCATTAAAATCTTACTCTTTTTTTTGTTTTGTTAAAGTAAGATCTTAACCTTTAACAATATACTCCATCTGTTTTACAATTAAATGTCATATTGATAAATTTCATACGAAATTAAATCGTGAACATTTCATTATATATTACAACAAATAAAATCTAATTCAAGATTATTTGTATTAAAAATCTAATTCAAGATTTAACGCCAAAACGTTTAACACAAAAGAAATTACCAAATTTTTTACCTGAAACGGACAAAGACAGGTTATGAGAGAGGTGACCATGTGGCTTTTCTTTAATCATATCCGTCATGACTAAGTTCTATGGAGCTTTAGCTTTACAACTTTTTAATATTCTATCTAAAAATCATACAATATAGTAGTATTATTATGAAACTTTTAATGGGTTTATATTCTTCAGAAATGGTAAAGGTATTGGTCAGACCAAAGAAATTTGCCTTTTGTTTTAAATCATTCAAAAAGAAATTACTAAAATTAACTCGGCTTGTCTCTTCCGACTTAACATGTGCACTATTTTTTCTTTACAAAAATTTTCCGTTTCCATAACTCTTTGCCACGTGTCACTATCTCATCGGATTTCTTTGACCTAAATCCCTTTTTTGTTTTGTTTTGTTTATAACCACTAAAACACCTACTGTAAATCCTAAACTGTATTTGATGGTTCTAAAAAATCTATGACAACATACAATTTCCATTTCCACAATTATTTGCCACATGTCATTGTCTCATCGAATTTTTTTGACCTAAATCCCTTTTTTGTTTTTTTTATATTTTATAAGAACTAAAACACCTAAATCCTAAATTGTATTTGATGGTTTTAAGAAATCTATGACCTCTATCATAAAATATTGCGCCCGGTATTTTAAGTATACCATCCAAACAAAAACATCTATTAAGGAAAAAAAAACGCTTAGTTCTTTAGTAAAAGTATAACTAAGTTTTTTTTTTTATAGTTAGAATAACTATAGTGTGCTTGTCTAGTAGGAAAAAAGTTTTTTGGCGGTCAGACCATGCATGGATTCTGATTTCACATGGCTCAGTCGTGTTAGTAGTATTGGTGTCGAGGATGATATTTGATCAGGATGTTCCACCGCTCATGTTAGTGGTTTTCTACATCTATTAACCCACATAACCAACACTACCAAATTGTTGATTCCTCATATTGGTCAGATAATTGGTTTGTTATATCGAAAAGCTTGAAGGATTTGTAGTACAAATTTACTATGTTATTTTTACATATTATTTCTCAATTCGAATGATAAATTATGTCATAAAAAGAAAATTTGGTTCTCTCTTTTGAGAAATGTAATCTCAGTTTTCTTTCTCTGTGAGCTCTTCTTGTAATGGTTATCTCTTTTGAGTCCCAATATATGTAACACAAACCGCTGTCGTTTTTAAAAAAACAAATGTATCTTTATAGTAATAGCAATATTAACTCAATTATTTTACAGTTGTTAAAAAAAAAAAAAAACTCAATTATTTTACATATTACGACATGCACCACTAATTCTATCCAAAAGACTGAAAGAGTGAGGTATTATTATTACACGGAAACTCTTAAACATCATGTTATGATTTAAACATTCCTCAAATCAGTATTAATATTATGCTATCTCATTTTGTACTATTTAGGTTATAGATATGTCTTTTCAGAGAAGCTGATAGACATTGTATCAAATCAAGTGATTTAATCCTGCAATTTATCAAAATGCATGCATGATATTTTTGGATTCGATCTGAAGACAAAAATATTTGTTTGAAAAAAAAAAAAAAAAAAAAAAAACTGCACACCGTAGTAAAAGAACTGCGACTGATCTAGTGAACTCTTTGCATTGTTGAGTTATTACATGCTGTATCTAGTAAAAGAAGAGGCTTTTTGAATCTTCAAAGACTCTCAAATTATTCAAAACAAATTATATATATGTAGTCTAGTGGTTCATATTAATATTGTCATTGTATCACCATCCAAATATAAATGGGTACATGTTATTGACATACAAATTACGATATTTCCACCAAAAAAAAATACAATATAAAATGTTTGTTTTTGAAATTCATTTGTTAATGTTTGTTTTCTTTGATAACCAGCTGTTGATTTATATTGTACAATATAAAGATTGGTTTCGGACAAATCTTTATTCTTGATTTATTGATGCGATAGTGGTCCACTGCAGATTTGTCTCCCTACGTGTTTTCAATGATAACCCTTCCCTCTTTGGTATGTTTACTCACACTCACACATTGATTAATCATTCTTTTTATCTTAATTAACTCCCATTAATGGCTGTTTGTTATAATCATTATACAATATAATAATACACTCTCTTTGGCAGAAATACTTTTCTCTTCTTTTTAATGCTTGTTAACTACACTTTGTTATAGCTTATAGGTTTATTACAAATCATTCGAACTCATAGCTAATACAAAGGCTAGTGGTTGCTTGAAGAGATAGAGAGACAGAGAGCACAGCAACAAAAGGTTGGAGACTAATTAGTGTGATAGTTGTGATTTTGTCCCTTAAGATGCCATCTTTAATTTATATTTTCCTTTTTTATGCAAAAGAAAACTATATAATAACAGTTTCCTTCGTCCATGGGTAAAGACTGAATCGAACCTATGAGTGACTGGACAGCTATCCATGTGGAGAACACGGGACTAAAGTCTCTCATGTTATTTAATTTGTGGTTAATCAATTTATATCTTTTAACACTATTACAACATATACTAGGAAAGTACATTCTACAAAGTTTTGATCAATCATTGTCTTATACATCATACATATTTACACCTCTAGTTCCATAATTTCATTATTTATTAAAATCAAATAGAAGTTTTTTATATGATACAATTAATTTTGAAAGACAGAATTCACCAATTCTAAGAGAAAGCATCAGGATAAACTCTATATATATATATATATCATATGAAATACCATAATTCATAAATAATAAGATTAAAATATTTCAAAATTTGAAAATAGATTTAAATGTTAGAGTACATAAAAAAAAAAATTGAAAAGAGAAAATATTATAAATAAATATAAGTTCTAATAAAAACGCTAACTCCAACCGGTGTTAAAAGACCGTCTATAAATGGGTGTTTATAAAATATTGTACCTATATTATACCAATCATATATAAACTTAACAGTTTAACTATTGCAAGAGAATTTGCATATTTCATTTCTACCTAAGTGAAGGTTAATTTTTTTAATAATATAATAGTATTGAACAAAGTTTATGAAAACTATAATTAATGTGCAATCAATAATGAATTTTAGATCCTTTACCTGAAATATTCGTTTAATAATACTCAGTGACAACTTGTTCAAAAAAATTTAGAAACACATTTGGCCGACAAAGTAGAATTATATCTACATTAGTAACATGGAATTTGGACATATACACCCAGTTTCGTTCATGCTCTAATTTAAACAAAATATATAAACAAAAATAAATTGTAAGAAAATAGGTAGAATTTTCTCTTGAAAGACAAAAGAAAGCCAATGAAATGCTCTTACATTTGAACTTCTATTTTCTTAAAAGAACTTACTTGAGTCTATTTGCTTGGATTAGTGTGTGTGTTTGTTAATTCTTTCATAAAATTTTCCATATATGGTGATAAATCTCTGAATTTATAGTTTTTTCCATCACTTGTATTTTAAAAATGATTCTCAACGATGTGAAACGAAAAAAGAGATGTACTTACTTGTATAGTCATTGTCAACAATAAATCGATTCGATTTTCAATCTTTATAGATTTACTTTCGAGATCAAGATAAAAACAAAAAAAATGTGCCCTTTTTCAAGTCTTTATGGGAAAAAAAAAGCTGCCGTCAATTGAGAAAATTTATTTTACGAACTGTTGTGTTTTGTTAGTGGGGTACATTGATGAATGATAAGTCCTACAACGTAAAAGAAAAAAACATCAAAACATAAACAGTAGTACAGTACTACTTTTTCCCATTTGCAATTTACAATTACATTTTATACTTATTGTATATATAATTGCAAATCCAATACCAATTAAAAAAACTATGAAAAATAAGATTTATAAGCAACAAATACAGAAAAAAAAATCGATGCTAAAAGTCAGAAAGAAACGAGAACCGGATCGGTTTGTCTCCAATGTTACAGAAGAAGAAGCTGCTGGCAAGCGCGGGAAACTTACTTAACGTTAAGAGAAGAAGAGAACTGTTTATTCCTCTTTACGTGGTTTTGGTCTTGAAGGTTTTGCAGGCACAACGTAACCGAGGAGAATCAATACAACAGGTATGATTGTTCCAATGTAATATACGCTTCCGTAGGCGGTAAGTGTTTCGTGCAAGCTTAACACCTGAGAGATTGCGATTAAAAACAAGGTTCAAAATGGCGTTAAAATGATTCGATCAATGTGACGGAAGAGAAAAGAGCTGGTAATTACCATGAAACCGACGGCTGAGTAGTTGAGAACCAAAACGGTGTATAGGAAGTTGATGAAGACCATTATATTTCTCAGCATTGCCATTTTCGGACTGATTGCCTGTTGCCACCGGTAAATAACTGCAAAGAAAACAGATTTAGATCAACAAGAAGATTGATAGATGCCATTAGCAAAAGAGTGAAACCGGGTGAATTGGATTTACCCCGTGAGCCTGCGATCATCAAAGCTGACTGAACAAAGAACATCATATATCCAGGATATAGTCCCTGCAAATTGCATTAGAGGTGGAAGAAAAATCAGATTTAGAAATACAAATGTATGTTCCATCATCATTGGAAGCAATTGAAAACAGTCAAATTACAAGATATGTAGCATTTTCCGGTTTAAGAATTGGAAAGGACACCAAGAGAGTAACGTGGAAAAAAAATAGATGAAGAAGAAAGAACTCACATGCCAAACCGCACTGACGGTTTGTGTAGCTAATAACTGGAAGAAACCAGCTTTCTTTCCGTTCTGCACAAGTCTTTCATACACGTCTGCATTATAAATAACATGAATCAGTTTTCTCACAATGACTAAGTTCACAGATTAACCGAAATTTCTGCTTTTTATGATTCACGCAAGTACCAGAAGACTACTTACAGTGACGGAGCCACGTGCTGACTTGTATGTTCCATACAAGTGGAATCTGAACCGCGCTCTTAGCTAGTTCGACACCGAGAATGTCTACGTTCTTGGCACGGTCCCATTTAGGCTTTGGTGAAGCATCATCAGTCCAACCACTGAAACCCAAACCAGAGATGATAATAGAAGCCTCTGATATTGACCAGATGAAGTAATACTTCCAACGAGCCGTGAATCCTGCCATGTATTGGTAACTAAATTTTCTCAAGAATCCCCATTCTTGATACACGGGTTCTGTGAACCGAGTTAACGGATATTGAGGCACTAAATAGAGATACAGAGCCATGCAAATCGCAGCTTGCAAAATAGCTCGGATTGTAGCTCCATAAGGCGATGGCCGCTTTCTTTTCTCAGAAGTATCCCAAATCTAGAAAGCACAAAAGTTTAAAAATTCACAATCTAGTCTAATGAAAATTCAGATTTTTCTTGATAAGGTTAAAAGATATCAAGAAGAAGAAGAAGCTTTTACCCCTTTCCCTTCGGTCCATTCGAGATAATCTTTCATTTCATAAACAGGACCAGCAAAATGGCTACCGCAACAAAGGCAGTAACCAAAGTACTCAATCAAAGACGGCATCTGAATCAATCGATTTTTCTTCTGAGCTTCACGTAGGCCTTCCTCCTTCAACATCCCATCATTGTAATTCATCGCACATGAGATAACTTTCAGCGTTAACACCATTAACGCTCCTAACACATGAACAACAAGAAGGGCCAAGTTAAGAAATTACTACTCAGACCAAATTCCATCACTAACTCGTAAGAAGAAGAACATCCAAATCAAAAGGAAGCAACTTTATACATTTTGTTTAAGATTCATAAAACCAAACTAACCCATTACGGTAATGTAACAGAGAATTACTCAAAATTCACTTATTGAATAAGACGAGGAGAGTAAGAGTTACCAGTAGAGTCGATTCCTCCTTCTTTCCACGCATCACCACTCATATAAAACACATGACTACACAAATCACGAATTTGCACCATAACTAAATCAGGGTCAATCAAAAGGAAGACGATTTTTGCACTATTAATTCATAGCAACAAAAAGTTCAGATTTTTTAGTACCAGCCAATAAGATAACCGAAACCGAGGAAGAAAGTGATGATTCCACACTTGGGTCTATAAATCGCCATTGAAGCATATCCGATCGTCATCGGAACAAGGAAGTGAAGGTTGGAGGAGAATCCAAAGGACAGATAAGAGAGGAAAGCACCTGAAGCAGCGGCATATAAGTGTTTACCGAGTCGACTCGGGACGATTCGACAAGCGAATGAAACAGGGATCGTGGCAACGAAACAGAGGAGGAATCGGAGAACGGCGACCGAAACTCCGATCGAAGCAGCCATGGAACTCATATCCATGGTGTCAAAGGCCCGTTTTTTTATAACTCGGAATGAGTCACAACGACCGAGTGGCTCCGGGAAGCTTCTTCTGATCTCGCCGAAGCTATAGATCGGTCGTGTTGTGTCGTGTGGTTGTTGGCTTTCTTGGTTAACGAAAGGTATCAAATTTATATGTAATAAACCGGTCGGTACAGTTTTCAAAAACGCTTGAAATTGAATTGAATTGAAAACCAACGGTTTAAATTAAAACCCTAATTTCCTTTTTTCTGATCTCACGATATCTAATTCACAGTTGTATCTTCGCCGTTTGTTCTCCAACAGTTTCATCGTCGTCGTCTTCATCGTTGCTTGATTCTACAGATTTCTCTGTTCAAGTAAGTTTAAGGTTTTGGTACTTTTACTCTGTTTAGGATTTTGTTTCTCGATTATGCCATGCTTAATTTTGATTTTTGTATGTAACTCTGTTTATGTTGGGAAATTTGCATCTTAAAGTTGTGCTCTTTATTGATTAGGTTCACGTGTTGACATGAAAGGAGCTGGTAAGTTTGAAGGGAGCTCAAGTAAGATAGTTTTTGAGGATAGTGAAGAAGATGAAGATCTTTCGTGTTCATCTGTGTCTTCTTCAGATGAGGTTAGTAGCTTTAGAATAGTTATGGAACTCAAGACATTGTTATTGTTTGTTGAAGCATTTGTCTTTGAATGTGGAATTAGGAAGAAGAAACAGAAAAAGAATTAACCTTTGAGGAGATACATAAATTACGAGCTGATGGGTCTAAAGCTGTTCCATGGAAACCAAATCAAGTGAAGAAAACAGGTCGTGCTAACAAAAACAGGTACACTACATTGTTGTCTCTTTGCTCTTATTTTTTCTTCTTTCAGTTGTTGGTTATTTTGTTAATCTTTGGTGTTTTATTTGTTATTAAAAAGACCAATGGAGTTGAGTTCTAAGAAACCTGTGAGTCGTTATAGAGAGGTAGTTCAAGTTCCAAAGAAGGTAATAAGTTTTAGCATTGAGAACATTTTGAATCTCTTATCTCTTCTTCTCAAGTTTTTGAGTTTGGAGTTGTTAAAAGAGTTTCTTTGTTTGCATTCAGGAGGTTCGTGATCCTCGCTTCAATCAATTGGGTGGAACACTTGACGTCGAGGGGTATATATATCTTTCTATTGTGAACATGAAATTACTTATAATTCACTCTTTGTTCTTGTTTCAGTGAATGTAAGTTTTGTATCTTTTGTAGGTTCAGGAAGCGATACAATTTCTTTTTTGAGGACAAACTTCCTGTGGAAAGAGAGGTACTATTGATTTAATGCTGAAGAAAATATGGTTCCGATTTGTCACGAAGCTTTATGATTGATTTTCTGGGGTTCCTAAAACAGGAATTGAAAAAGAAGCTAAAGAAAACAAAGAATCCAGAAGAGGTCAATGAGTTGAAGAACCAGCTAACTTACGTTGTGAGTGATCCTTTCTTTACCTCTCCTGTTTTCGAAAATCTGATCATTAGTTTGTTTCCTCACCTTTTTGTCTGTTATATATATATCAGGAGAAAATGTTGAAATATGAGCCATCAACAAAGAACAAAGGAGCAGCAATACTAACAGAACACAAAAAGAAAGAACGAGAAGCCGCAAAAGAAGGGAAAAGGCCTTACTATCTCAAAAAATGTATGTTCTGAATCTTTAATCAAAAGTCCCGAGTTTAGTGTTGAACATTACAGTTTTGAGTTTTTCTTTGCCAACACAATTACTGAATCCTTTTTTCTTTTCTTATGCAGCGGAAATCCGAAAGCAAACACTCATCGAAAAGTACAACAGTCTCAAGGTATGTAAATCAGTTTTGACTACCAAAGTTTTAAATGTTTGTATGGAAACAGAATCACTGAATCAGTTCTTTTTGTACAATCCAGGAATCTGGGAAGCTTACATCGTATCTTGACAAACGGAGAAAGAAGAATGCAACAAAGGATCATAGGTTTATGCCCTATCGTCGAACAGAGGAATAGTGAGAAGCAGTTTTGCTTTAAGAACGATCTCTTACCTTGGTCCATGACAGTTTTTGTTGCAGTCTATGTGATGTAGTACTAAAATTTATGCTTGAGAATTGAAAGCCACATGCAGCTAAACTTTTTTTGTTTTTCAATTGAAAGCCAAATCGAATACAAAGGCTGCTTAGTTTGCTGATGTTTCTGTGAAGACATGAGAGACTCTAGACCTTTCAGAGGGTTCAAATCTACTGTACTTTTCTTATGTTACTTCAATTGTTTTTATATATCAAGGTTATAAAAATGAAATTCAAGGTCAAACAAACAAGTTCATTATAGCTTTTTTTTTTTTTTTTTTTTGTCAACTTCATTATAGCTTTTTTCTTTCTAAATAATTCGGTTTAAAAAATATTTTTTTATTTCTTTCCTCCCAAATTTTACTAATTTAACTACTCTTATTTATCATTTCAATAACCTTTTTAATACTGTATAGAGTGTTTGAACATAGACACACATCAAAAAGAATGTAAAGCAGCACATTCATGTACGTAAGCAAGCAATTATGTACACACAAACATATATGTTAACGTATACTTAATCATCATAATTAGACAGATTTCCAAATTCTATACCATAGGATGATAGGAATCTAGAAATAATTTCCCACTATGTCATTACAATAAAAAAAATAGTTTCATGAAAAAAATATCACCATGTGAATGTTAATGCATATATTGATCTGAAATACCATTAAAGAGCTTTCCCAAACTTCTCAACTGAAATGTATTTGGCTAGGATTGTTTTTCAAAATTTTGGTTTTATTTTTGATTTTGATATGGTCTTGTTTTAGATTGAAAAAAAAAGTTATTAAAAATAAACATAATTACTTTGAGTCATATATAGTTAAATACTATATAATATTTTTTTGATGAATTTCAGTTAGATATATTACTATGTTAACATGCATGAATGTCTATGTTTACACACATGACATATCTAATACACTTAAAGTCAGGCCCGTTCATGTATGTACAGTGAAGAAGTACAAACAAATATGTATGCATGTTAGATTAATGCACAATTTTGTGCCATAACATATAATATAAATATCTGTATATTCTGGATTTTAAATAAAAAGGAATCTCTAGATTCTAAATGAATGGAATTCCATTAGATTTAATTACCAACTTATCATTGTCACAAAAAAAATCACAAATAATTTTTTGCTGTTTATGAAAATGTTAACTATAATACAAAGTTACACAATCACATATAAATAAACCTTAGTTACACAAACAAGCAATCACAATTAACAAACACTTTCTATCAACATTTCTAATACTCTCTGCCCAAAAAAACACTCTTTGTACCTTCAAAAAATATGGAGAACAAAAGAGTGGCCATGTTAGTGGTGATGATGTTGGTGATGGGGAACACGTCGATTGAGGCAGTGGCTCTGCCGAAAATGTCTTTTAAAGTATGTTACGGAGGTTGTCTTGTGGCGTGTGCTCTAATAGCGCCTGCGATTAAAAAACCTTTTTGTCCTTTTTTGTGTATCAAGGATTGTAAACGTCGACCTATACTTTCTTTTGAGGCAAATCTTAAAGAAACTGACCAGACTGATTCTTTCTGCGAACTCGGATGTGCTACCGATCGTTGTGTTTCATCCTCCTCAATTGATGATAAGGGTAAGCTTTTTCCAGGTTCATCAATATCGTTCATATATATACAATTTAATCTTGTGGGGTCTAAGGATATTATGTAAATTTCCCAAGAGTAAGAATGATGATTTTTTTTTTGGGTATAGTTTTGCTAAGATTAGGAATGTTTGATAATTTTTAATCATTCAAATAATTTTATCGTGGTTCTAGTTAATTTTCTTATATATGGTTGTTTGTTTATATATGGGCAGATCACGTGGAGAAAGTTTCAGTATGCGTGGATTCATGTTCAGAAGAGTGCTCCCACAAGAACTAAAGTCGCTATTGATTTTATTCTATGAAATTTAATGTCTAATTAAAAGATATAAACCAGTAGTAGAGATTGTATCGATTAAACATTCTCCAAATGAAAAAAAAAAAAAAAAAAATCTCCAAATGAGAATTTATTTTCTGAGTTGATATATGCTTTGTGTTACGATCAAGCCAATTGCTAAAACCATCCGAAATAAAGAGACTTTCATAATAAAGAAAATGATGTTCATAATAATATTGTGCAGACTCACCAACATATTTGATTTTAAGGTATGCATCTTGAATCTAATTCGATGAATCTCATTCCTATCCGTAACAAAATTTACATTAATTTGATCATTCAAGACTAAACATGTTTGAAATTTGAACCAAAATAATGTGTTAAAACTTAAAACACATCATGTGCATGTTTCTTTGCTAAATGGTTCAAAATTGAACCAACATATATTCTTACGCTTCGAATCCGAATGCTCACAGGTGATCGATGGGGACATTGTGTACGTAACCCTAATCAGATCAAAACTGATAAAAAATGATAGCCAAATTTATGCTTGAGAACCGATAGCCAAATGCCGCTAACTTTTTTTTCTTCCCGAATTAAAAACCATAATCCAGTACAAAGGCTGCTGTTGGTTCTCTTAAGACATGAGAGACTCTAGACCTTTCCGAGGGTTCAGTTATACTTCACTAGCTTTTCTTATGTTACTTCAGTTGTTCAATATTTTTAACTTTTAAGCATGAATGATAAAATATCCTGAATTCAAAATAAGATTAACTAGGTTTTGATGATATACGTAAGAAATAAATAACTTAGTTTTTATATGTCAAGATTACACAGTATATTATTCTAAGATCAAACAAACTTGTTCATTATAGTTTATTCTATTTAATTTTGTACTTGATTCAATTTAGAAAAAAATATTGTTTAATTAATAGAACGATCTTATATATGATGCCATGTTTATCATTTCAATAACCTTTTCATATGAACTGTATTTCACCATTTTAATATAGAGTGCTTGAACATAGATACATATCAAAAAGAAAATAAAGCACATACATGTACGTAAGAAAATATGTTCAAACAGTCTGTACATACATAAACATATATGTTAACGTATATTTTATCATCATTATAGACAGATCTCCAAATCCCAAACGAAAGGAATCTAGAAATAATTTCCCACTATGTCATCATCACACAAACACTATAGCCTGATTTGTGGCTGACTCTGGAAATGTTAACTAATATACAAAATTACACAATCTCTATATATATAAACCATGTTAACACAACAAACATTCACAACTTACAAAAAAACACTTTCATCAAAAGAAAATTATATCATCTAGAGAGATATATAAAATGGAGAGCAAAAGAGTGGCAATGTTGGTGGCAGTAATGATAGTGATGGTGATAGGGAACCTTCTGGCTCAGACAGAGGCTCAGAAAATCCCATTTAAAGATTGTTATCCAGCTTGTCTTATAGAGTGTAAAGCTGAGTCAAAGTTTCCAAAGTATCTTAAGTGTCCATTTACGTGTACCAAAACATGTCTTCAACAACCTCCTCTACCATCTGTTTCTTCAAACAATATCGATGATTCTGATTATTTCTGCAAACTTGGATGTGCAACTTATCATTGTGTTTCTCTTTCTTCCCTCCAAAATCCGAGTAAGTTTTTACTTCGTCTATACGATTTTTACATTGTAAATCTTACCCATAATAGTGTTCACAAATCGATGACCATATATATGGTTGAATTGATATTTTGAATTTTAATTAACGTTAAATGGTTTTGGTTGGTGTTTGTGTTATGGACAGATGTGGAAAGCGTATCAGCCTGTGTCGATTCATGCTCAAACAAGTGTACCAAGAAAAACTAGAAGCGCTAAGATATATACGAGGATATTCATGTGTAAAAAAAAGATATGATTATTGGGCTTAAAGCCCATTTATATTTGGGTTAATTAATGAAATTATAATATTATATTATTAAAACAAATTGTAGTACTTTTCCTTTTTTGTAACTGTGTATCCGTTGGGCCTAAAGCCCATTCCCAATTTGGGTTGATTAATAAAACTTTATTATTAAAAAAAAAAGACATGAACCATTAGTTTGTATCAATTCAGTTTTTAAATAACGAATTTTTTTATTCAACATATTTTGCTGCAAGAAATCAATTGATATAAAAGGAAAACAAAAGCTGAGTTTTTTTTTAAAAAAAGGAAAACAAAAGCTAAAATGAAGGAGATATTATTTACTATTCACATTAATAATTAAGAGGAAAAAAAATGCTTTACGTATATAATCTAATGATACAGAGAGAGATAATACTGAACTAATCTATATAAAATATTCTACCAAAAAATAAAAAAATTTAGAATGAAATAACAATGAAGCAGTTATGTAAATTTAGCAAATAATATAATGTTATTAATAAAAACTCAATTTTTATCAGAATGAATGAATTTGTATATCTTAAAAAAATAAGTATGTATTAAATTTATTGTAATTAAAACCCTAAAAAAGAATGCTATCTTAGTGCTTGATTTTATAAAATAATAGTATAGAGATCTCCACATTGTAAATGAATGGAATTACCCACCATGGCTTTGTAACAATAAAGTTATAGCTTAATCTGTTGTTGATTGTGAATATGTTAACTAATATAGAAATTTGCATTATCCCTATATAAACAATGCATGTCAACACAACCAACATTCACAATTAACAAACAATTACATCTACAAATATAAAATCTTTGCATCATTCTCCCTGAAAAAAGAATGGAGGGTAAAAGCCTAGTTGCGGTTTTGGTGACAATGATGGTGATGGGAAACCTTCTTCCTCAAACAGAGGCTCAAAAGATACCATTTATGCAATGTTATCCAGCTTGTATTGTAGTGTGTAAGAGTGAGTCAACGTTTCCAAAGTTTCTTAAGTGTCCATTTACATGTCTCAGAACATGTCTTCATCCTCCGTCTCCTCCTCCTTCTCCTTCTCCGTCCCCTTCGCCTTCTCCTTCTGAGAACATTATCGATCAAACTGATCACTGAAAATCCAAGTAAGTTTTCACATTTCATATATATATATATATATATATATATATATATATATATATATATATATATATATATATATA